AAAGATTGAGATCTTCATTAAATCATATGTCATTAATAAGAAAGAGAAATCATTAATTAAATTTTATTTTAATTTCAATCATTAATTATTTTGAATTGTTGACAATTCATGCAATTGTGATCAGAAATTAAAAAATTATGTTTGATTTGAAACTCTTAGGTTGTTTGAAAACCATGTGAGTGGTTTGTTTTTAGTGTTGTTTGAGTTAAAACAAAATTGTCAAATTGGGAAGAGTTGATATATAAATGTGTAATTTATCTAAATTTCTCTATTTATTTCGCACACTTATTCACTCAGTCATAAAGTAGCACATAAAAATTACTCAAAAAATTTGATTTGATCCTAAATTATAATCATTCAAAATAAGTGGGGTTTTACAAGTTATTCATTAACATTCATTGGTGACCACTATGGAAGCATAAATTAATGTAGTCATGCTCAAAGGAAGAGTTAGTAATGTAACTAATAACAATGTTTCTAATCACTAAAAAAATAATGTGTTTTTTTTATTAAAAAATATTTATTCATTCAAATTAAAAAAAAAGGTGAATCTGCAAATAATTTTATAGTATTTAGATTAATATCATATAATGATAACAAGAAAGTTCTTACGAACAAAGGCAGTTTTATAGTTATGAGAGTCCGGTCACGTGTTTGGGTTTAACCCCTACTTTATTTGTATTTTTTCAATCTAATAGTTGATTTTTAGACAAAATTTATAAAAACAAAGACAAAATTTATAAAAACAGGGATAAAATTAACACACTTTATGATTATTTATATATTTTATATCACATGCAATTAAATTTTTTATTAAGACTGTTTAAAATTTCCGACTCTACCACTGCTTACAAATATGATAAAAATAAAAACAATTAGAATATATATATATATATATATATATATATATATATATATATATATATATATATATATATATATATATATATATATATACTTTCAGATATGTAACATTAATACATAAGTCTTTATTAAATATATACGAGTTGAAATAAATATGTTAATCTTAATCAACAAACATCAGAAAAAACTAATAGACGTCACACTCGGCAATGTAAGTTTAAAACAAAAAAAAAACAATTTTATGAGCATAAATATTAAAAAATAAATGGTATTAAAGAGTGATTTCAATTAAAAATAGTCAAAAACTATTTCTATGATAGAAGAATGAAAAGAGAAAAAAAGTTTAAAAATAAATAAATTAAATGTTATATTTGTAATATTACATTCTAAAACTTTATTTTAATATCATACTTTGTATTTATATTTGCATTATAAATCAATTAAAAAAACATTAAATGCTTAGGGTAATATATCAAAGAATAAGTTATAAAATGTCAACAACCAAAAAAGTAGTCATAAAGACAAACTAAATCTTGTGTGGTGATATATAAATATATCACACTTTTATCATACAAATACATAAAACAATATTTTTTAAAATTAATCTTTAAAAAATAAAAAATTATATCTATATTAATTAATAGAATAGTTACAAACAAATAATTATATATTTTTACAAAATCTGCCTAATTCATTAAACATAGAAGATTGTGAACAATCTTATCTTAATATAAATAGTATATGATATACTTTATTTAAGTGCATTGTATTTTGATTACACAAGATACAATATATCAATGTCTAAATAGAGGGGAAAAAAACAATTAATAATATGCATGTGTGACTAGAGAAAAATATGTGACAGCGAAAAAAATGTTTTCTTTAAAAAAAAAAAACTGATACGCACTTAACTAAAAATAAAATAAATTATTTATTATAAAATTTGTGATTACAACTTTTTTTATTTAATAATGTTTTTTTTCTGTATACGACCTCTCTCTATTCTGAATAAAGTCAAGATAAAAAAATTTGACAATGAATTAGATTATAAATAAAATAATATAAATATTGATAAAATTAATTAAGAGTTCTCGTGACTTTCGTTAATATGTTGTTGGATTTTCTTCAAGCTATTTCATATTCTTCTTGATAGTGCATTTTCTGAAAATAAAAATTGAATTTGGTTTGATGTGCTTTAAATTTTGGTTTATTTTGAAAAGTTTATATTGAGAATAAGAATAATGAATTTGGATGTTAGAACCTAACACCGATTTTTTTTTTTTTATCTTGATTCATGTTTGTGTTAACTACTTATTTTTTTATTATGTTTTTTCTTGTCTATTTTTGAAAAGATAGAGAGATTACTTAAAATAACATCAATTAAATTTAAAAAAATTATTTTTATTTTCATAAATCATTTTATAAATTATTATTGTTATTATTATTAATTTTTGTTATTAATATTTTTTTAAATACTTTTTTTCACCTTTTATTCTTCTTACATTTTCTTTTCTTTTCTTTTTTTCTTCATTTTTTTCTCATATATATTTATTGAAAAAAGAAAAATATTTTATTAATTTATTCTTCTTTTAATTTTTTTAAATGATCGATATTAATTTATTTTTGTATGTGATTGATATTATTTTGAACTTAAGAAAGTTAAATTTTTTTGGACTTAATATAATAAAAACAATCAAATATAAATTAATGTTTCTTTCATAATAATGAATGAAAGTAATTCAAATATGTAACACATGTATACATAAATTATTATATAAGAAAAAAATATGAGAAAAGTTATTGACACATGATTAACTAATCTTCTAACATTTTTTTTTCATTAGTTAAAAATCATATAGATCTTTACAAACATAAATAAAATGCACATGATTCTACAGACTCCTGTGAATTTTAACAAAACAAAGAAAGTGTGATAAAAAATATTTGCTAAAAAATGTGATGTTAATATTTTTCATAAAATATATTTTATAAGGTTTGATAATAAAAATTAAAAAATGACTTTCATAATGACTAATTTAGATAACTTATATTAAAATTATATTTTTTAAACAAAAAGTTGAAAATATGATTAAAAAAATAATAATAAATAATGCAAAAAAGTAGATAGGATGAATAGGTAAGTGTTGTCTTTTTTTGCCAAAATGATAAATGTTATTATTTTCAAATAAAAAAGACACAATAGATTTATTAAATGAAATTAAGAAAATGAATATGAGAGATTTTTAGAACAAAAAATAAATTTTATGATAATTTTTTTAACTTAACGTATAAAAATATCTAAATATAAAGCAACAGTAGCAATTGAACACTAGTAAATGTTTCTGCATAATAATTTATGTAAATCATTCAAATATGTTACATATATAGAGAAATAATTATACATGAAAAAATATGAGAAAAGTTATCAATACACTTTTAACACACATTTTCTAACACTTTTTTCATTAGTTAAAATTCACATGAGTCTTAACAAATTTAGATGAAATCCTTGTGATTTGATAGACTCATGTGAATATTTTTGTCTTTTCTTTCCATTTACTAATTTTAGTTACATATAACATGTTAATGTATTTTTTTAATATTTAAAAAATGATTAATAATTTGAGCTGTTTGATATATGTGTGCACTAACGCAGCAGTAACTGTACCAGTGAATTACCCCATAAAGTTTTTAAAAATACTTGCGGGGTGCACCTCACCTTGAAAATTTCGATACCCTTGAGAATTACGGGGTGCAAATCACCTTGCAAAATCTGTGACATTACAAGTCACCTGCCTCCTGACGCAACAATAATTGTACAAGTGAATTCCCTCTAAATTTTTTAAAATTAATTGCGGGGTGCAAATCAACTGGCAAAATTTGAACAGTTGGAAGTTGTAGGGTATAATCCACCTTGCAAATTTTTTGACAGTACAATTCACCTTCCCCCACTAACTTAGCAGTAATTCCATCATTGGATTTCCCCCCAAAAATTATAAAAACTGTTGTAGGGTGTTTATCATTTCGCAACTTTCTTTTCAAAATTTTTAAATTCCCCCCATTTGTTGCGAGATAGAAAACCTTATGATTTTTTTAATAAAAAAAACTGTGTTGCAGTGAATATCATCTTGCAAGTGCGATATTTTACGGGATGAATAACACCCGATTAATTTGATGTTTTCTTGTAGTATTAGTTTAGATATGTCACCACGGTGTAGGGCAGAACCGTAGTGACTATGGCGTTGTTGTTTACACGTTTTTGTAGTATATATATATATATATATATATATATATATATATATATATATATATATATATATTCATCAAACATAAACAATAAATGTTCATCAAGAATATTTTTCAAATCCAATCACTACAAGAAAAATGATAGATTGGGACGGTTATTTTGGCTGATTACGACGGTTAAAACCGTCGCAATTTACAATCTACGACGGTAGAAGTACCGTCGCAGAATTGTGCGTCCCCAGCCTATTTCGCGACGGTTGCAAAAACTGTCACGCACAACAGATAGCGACGGTTATATACCGTCGTGAATTTGACTTTATTTTTTGTTTTTGTTGTTGTTTGCGACGGTTATTCTACCGCCGTAGGTTAGAAATTGCGGCGGTTTTAACCGTCGTAATCTGATTTATAAATTTCAAATAATATTTTTATTTAAATTATTATTTAGTAAAATAATTTTAAATATAATATTATTTTACTATAATATTTTACTATTATATTTAAATTATTATTTACTTTAATATTTTTTTATTTATAGTATTTTTATTTTATTTTCTATCACTTTTCAACATAATAAAGTTAATTACAATAAAAACATTTAATATCAAATAATCATCAATAATATCAAAAAAATGTGATCAAAGGTAAAAAGAAGTGCAAATTTTACCAATAAACAAGAAAAATTCAAATATCATCAAAGGCCAAATTTCATTTTAATATTTACATTGGTTTGCTACAACTTGAGAGAATTACAAAAAATGTTACAATATTCTACAAAATTCATGAAAGTCCTTAGTGTTAAGTGATTTTGTGTTAAACTTCCATGCTAGGACCATGATCCTTCCTTGACTACCATTTGGTCCAAGCTACGCATACCTAGCAGCCTGCAAGATTCACACAAAACATATTTTTGTACTCACAAGAACATGTGGCAGGTTTTTGGCATCATAATATGCCTCAGATGGCTTAGTCAATGTCTTTGTGATGACATGTTTTTCCAATTCTACTTGTCCATTTTGCGCTTCTTCTTGTACCTGCATTACAAAACTAACTGTCAATTATGGGCTGGCAGAATAACTCTCACAACAGTTTGCCTAACACAATGATCTCAGACATTTTTCTAATGGAACAAAAGTGTTTCCTTATGTTCCTTAGGAGATCTAGGTAGATCTGTATTCCTGAGAAGTTTAAGGTTAGTTTAATCCTAATGATTGTAGTTAGTCACAACTGTAGTTGTGCAGCTTCTAATCAGCTTCTAATCAGAAAATTATAGTACCAATGAGCTTATAAACAATAAGATCATAATTGATGCTTAGGGATAAAATAAGCTCACCTTACAGCAAACAACGAAAAAATTTGTCACACAACCTTCGAGTATTTGATCACCATTATGAGACAACAACAGCTCTGTCACTGATGGAGGTCTGAGCTTTTCCAGAGTCTTCCTAATCCTGTATTGCAAAAAAAAAAGTTACAACTAGTATATGAAGGAACATTAGCACTACAAGCAGCAAGAAAAATTAGCACAACAATTTATATTGTCAAAGACAACAACTTTCAAGGTGGCAGAAAAGAGAAGGATACAATAAGCAATTTTCAGTCCCAAACACATAACCAAATCTTTCTTTTACTTTCCATTGGGGTTTATAAACATCAATAATGAGGTATAAAAGCTAAGTAAATTATCCTTGACACAATATAGTTATAGGCCTTCAAAATAAGAGCTTTATTTTTCTAAAGAAAATCTTGTTTTGGTTTCAACCAGCTCATATATAATCTTGTGACAGACACGCAGCAAAAGTTCTGGGAAACCAATTAAAAATCCACTAGTTTCACACTTAAAATGTAAAGAAATAGTTTCTTAATTATATTAATAATTTATAGCAGTTCTTGTTTATTTGATTGTATAATATTTTCATTAATTCCTGGATATGTTCCTTCTAGAACTTAACCTAAAAAACATAATTCCTCTTGACTAGAATCAAGACAACTCATTATAATATAGTACTAGTATAAACAAACATTAATAGAGGAAAAATGCAAACTTTCTAGTATTGTACCTTTACTCACCGATATCCTGTTTTTACACGTATAGGATTTAAGTGAAAGCATATAAGAGTTTAGTAATACTTGTATTCTATTTCAAATAGCATGATAAACTAACCTTACCCAATCTGAATATTTTGCAGCTGCAAAGTTCCTCACATAGCCCCCCAAAGCCAAATGTGCACCATTTCCCCGGATACCAAACCGAGGCGGAACATAAGTATCAATATGCACATGCACATCAAAAAAATTACTCATTTTCCCCTCACTCGTAGTCTCGCATACATTCAGTTCCTCCAAATTACCACTAACAAGAGTCGTAACGGCCAGCTCCTCAGAATCAACCCTCTCTTTCAACGCAATCGGCAAGACCTTCCCCACTGACTCATTAACAAGCATCTCTAATGCAGGTTGCCAAACCGGAAAATTCTTATCCAATGACAGCATTGCAGCATTATTAGATTTGAATAAAATCTGTGGTGCCGAATTCGAGAGAATTTGTATAGATTGTGAATGTTTGACGGTTTCCGGACGGTGGACCTTCAACGACGGAGAAGCAAGACGAGTCTTGATTTTGAGACGGCTGCGCTAGGGTTCGGGTGACATTTTGGACGAAGGATACTGTAAAAGTAAATTGATATTTTGTTTAAAAATGAATTACTAACATTTTGTGATATCATATATATATATATATATATATATATATATATATATATATATATATATATATATATATATATATATATATATATATATATATATATATTATTTGTTAACTTAAAATAATAAAATAAAAGATAAAAAGATAAAACTTCTTTCTTAAAATTAGAAATGTGGATGGAATTAAAATCTTAAATAAATAAAGAAGAAAAATATAAAGGAAATTGTAATTTAATAAATAAAATTATGAAAATCTTAAAATAATATTGATGGGTGTGAAAATTTATTTTGTTGGTAATTTATTTTATTATTATTATTATTATTATTATTATTATTATTATTATTATTATTATTATTATTAATAATAATAAAAGAGAAAAAGAAGGGGAAATGAAAGAAAAAAAGTGGGAAAGTAAAAGAATAAAAAAAATTAGCGATTATGATTGGCTAATGTAGTTACGACAGTTCACCTAATTGTCGCGGATGTGAAAAGAGGGCGGTTTTTTTGGTAACTGTCGCAATTATGTTACTCATAATGCTTGAAAATCTACGACGGTTGAGCCTAACCGTCGTGACAACTGTCGCAATTCAGGAATAAGGACGGTTTTGTGGGAACTGTCGCAATTTATGTTTCGTAAATCTCTTTTTTTCTTGTAGTGCAATGATAAGAATAAGTAAGTTATACGAGAATTTGAGAATGAATAAGAACTATCGGATTAAAAAGGAAAGATTGAGATCTTCATTAAATCATATGTCATTAATAAGAAAGAGAAATCATTAATTAAATTTTATTTTAATTTCAATCATTAATTATTTTGAATTGTTGACAATTCATGCAATTGTGATCAGAAATTAAAAAATTATGTTTGATTTGAAACTCTTAAGTTGTTTGAAAACCATGTGAGTGGTTTGTTTTTAGTGTTGTTTGAGTTAAAACAAAATTGTCAAATTGGGAAGAGTTGATATATAAATGTGTAATTTATCTAAATTTCTCTATTTATTTCGCACACTTATTCACTCAGTCATAAAGTAGCACATAAAAATTACTCAAAAAATTTGATTTGATCCTAAATTATAATCATTCAAAATAAGTGGGGTTTTACAAGTTATTCATTAACATTCATTGGTGACCACTATGGAAGCATAAATTAATGTAGTCATGCTCAAAGGAAGAGTTAGTAATGTAACTAATAACAATGTTTCTAATCACTAAAAAAATAATGTGTTTTTTTTATTAAAAAAAATATTTATTCATTCAAATTAAAAAAAAAGGTGAATCTGCAAATAATTTTATAGTATTTAGATTAATATCATATAATGATAACAAGAAAGTTCTTATGAGAGTCCGGTCACGTGTTTGGGTTTAACCCCTACTTTATTTGTATTTTTCAATCTAATAGTTGATTTTTAGACAAAATTTATAAAAACAAAGACAAAATTAATAAAAAAAGGGATAAAATTAACACACTTTATGATTATTTATATATTTTATATCACATGCAATTAAATTTTTTATTAAGACTGTTTAAAATTTCCGACTCTACCACTGCTTACAAATATGATAAAAATAAAAACAATTAGAATATATATATATATATATATATATATATATATATATATATATATATATATATATATATATATATATATATATATATATATATATATATATTATATATATATATATATATATATATACTTTCAGATATGTAACATTAATACATAAGTCTTTATTAAATATATACGAGTTGAAATAAATATGTTAATCTTAATCAACAAACATCAGAAAAAACTAATAGACGTCACACTCGGCAATGTAAGTTTAAAACAAAAAAAAAACAATTTTATGAGCATAAATATTAAAAAATAAATGGTATTAAAGAGTGATTTCAATTAAAAATAGTCAAAAACTATTTCTATGATAGAAGAATGAAAAGAGAAAAAAAGTTTAAAAATAAATAAATTAAATGTTATATTTGAAATATTACATTCTAAAACTTTATTTTAATATCATACTTTGTATTTATATTTGCATTATAAATCAATTAAAAAAACATTAAATGCTTAGGGTAATATATCAAAGAATAAGTTATAAAATGTCAACAACCAAAAAAGTAGTCATAAAGACAAACTAAATCTTGTGTGGTGATATATAAATATATCACACTTTTATCATACAAATACATAAAACAATATTTTTTAAAATTAATCTTTAAAAAATAAAAAATTATATCTATATTAATTAATAGAATAGTTACAAACAAATAATTATATATTTTCACAAAATCTGCCTAATTCATTAAACATAGAAGATTGTGAACAATTGTATCTTAATATAAATAGTATATGATATACTTTATTTAAGTGCATTGTATTTTGATTACACAAGATACAATATATCAATGTCTTAATAGAGGGGAAAAAACAATTAATAATATGCATGTGTGACTAGAGAAAAATATGTGACAGCGAAAAAAATGTTTTCTTTAAAAAAAAAACTGATACGCACTTAACTAAAAATAAAATAAATTATTTATTATAAAATTTGTGATTACAACTTTTTCTATTTAATAATGTTTTTTTTCTGTATACGACCTCTCTCTATTCTCAATAAAGTCAAGATAAAAAAATTTGACAATGAATTATATTATAAATAAAATAATATAAATATTGATAAAATTAATTAAGAGTTCTCGTGACTTTCGTTAATATGTTGTTGGATTTTCTTCAAGCTATTTCATATTCTTCTTGATAGTGCATTTTCTGAAAATAAAAATTGAATTTGGTTTGATGTGCTTTAAATTTTGGTTTATTTTGAAAAGTTTATATTGAGAATAAGAATAATGAATTTGGATGTTAGAACCTAACACCGATTTTTTTTTTTATCTTGATTCATGTTTGTGTTAACTACTTATTTTTTTTATTATGTTTTTTCTTGTTTATTTTTGAAAAGATAGATATATTACTTAAAATAACATCAATTAAATTTAAAAAAATTATTTTTATTTTCATAAATCATTTTATAAATTATTATTGTTATTATTATTAATTTTTGTTATTAATATTTTTTTTAAATACTTTTTTTCACCTTTTATTCTTCTTACATTTTCTTTTCTTTTCTTTTTTTCTTAATTATTTTCTCATATATATTTATTGAAAAAAGAAAATATTTTATTAATTTATTCTTCTTTTAATTTTTTTAAATGATCGATATTAATTTATTTTTGTATGTGATTGATATTATTTTGAACTTAAGAAAGTTAAATTTTTTTGGACTTAATATAATAAAAACAATCAAATATAAATTAATGTTTCTTTCATAATAATGAATTAAAGTAATTCAAATATGTAACACATGTATACATAAATTATTATATAAGAAAAAAATATGAGAAAAGTTATTGACACATGATTAACTAATCTTCTAACTTTTTTTTTCATTAGTTAAAATTCATATAGATCTTTACAAACATAAATAAAATGCACATGATTCTACAGACTCCTGTGAATTTTAACAAAACAAAGAAAGTGTGATAAAAAATATTTGCTAAAAAATGTGATGTTAATATTTTTCATAAAATATATTTTATAAGGTTTGATAATAAAAATTAAAAAATGACTTTCATAATGACTAATTTAGATAACTTATATTAAAATTATATTTTTTAAACAAAAGTTGAAAATATGATTAAAAAAATAATAATAAATAATGCAAAAAAGTAGATAGGATGAATAGGTAAGTGTTGTCTTTTTTTGCCAAAATGATAAATGTTATTATTTTCAAAATAAAAAAGACACAATAGATTTATTAAATGAAATTAAGAAAATGAATATGAGAGATTTTTAGAACAAAAAATAAATTTTATGATAATTTTTTTTAACTTAACGTATAAAAATATCTAAATATAAAGCAACAGTAGCAATTGAACACTAGTAAATGTTTCTGCATAATAATTTATGTAAATCATTCAAATATGTTACATATATAGAGAAATAATTATACATGAAAAAATATGAGAAAAGTTATCAATACACTTTTAACACACATTTTCTAACACTTTTTTCATTAGTTAAAATTCACATGAGTCTTAACAAATTTAGATGAAATCCTTGTGATTTGATAGACTCATGTGAATATTTTTGTCTTTTCTTTCCATTTACTAATTTTAGTTACATATAGCATGTTAATGTATTTTTTTAATATTTAAAAAATGATTAATAATTTGAGCTATTTGATATATGTGTGCACTAACGCAGCAGTAACTGTACCAGTGAATTACCCCATAAAGTTTTTAAAAATACTTGCGGGGTGCACCTCACCTGGAAAATTTCTAACCCTTGAGAATTACGGGGTGCAAATCACCTTGCAAAATCTGTGACATTACAAGTCACCTGCCTCCTGACGCAACAATAATTGTACAAGTGAATTCCCTCCAAATTTTTTAAAATTAATTGCGGGGTGCAAATCAACTGGCAAAATTTGAACAGTTGGAAGTTGCAGGGTATAATCCACTTTGCAAATTTTTTGACAGTACAATTCACCTTCCCCCACTAACTTAGCAGTAATTCCATCATTGGATTTCCCCCAAAAAATTTTAAAAACTGTTGTAGGGTGTTTATCATTTCGCAACTTTCTTTTTCAAAATTTTTAAATTCCCCCCATTTGTTGCGAGATAGAAAACCTTATGATTTTTTTTATAAAAAAAACTGTGTTGCAGTGAATATCATCTTGCAAGTGCGATATTTTACGGGATGAATAACACCCGATTAATTTGATGTTTTCTTGT